AGAAGATCTTTAGGTTTCAGGGTTGATGGTTCCTCTAACCTGCTCTGGGTTCCAGCTTGTGAATGAGAAGTCTTGCAGTGAGGGACAGATGCAGCTTTTCTGCTGGGAGCGCTGAAGTCCGGCTGGCAGAGACAGAACGCAGAGGAAGAGAGAGAGAGCTTAGCACCCCGGGTACATAACAGCTCCAAATGCATCAGATATTCAGCTCATTCCACACAGACCAACAGATGCTAACTAGAAGCACAATCCTTTTCTAATTGTTACTGTCTTTTACCCTTAAACGGAGAAGTAGAGACTCTCTGTGGACTCGGTGGAGAGTAGGAGGGTCTGGACTGCAGGAGGGTCAGGTGTGAAGGAAACAGCAGCTCGCAGTGACTGTTCTCACTGAACAGGACAGACAGGAAGACTCCTGCTGTGCTGCTCTCATCAAAGGATGAGGCCATGCGCTGAAACATGGGGTCCACCTGGATGTGTGGCGGGGGAAAGTTAATCTCAGAACCACCAATAATCAGACACGGTTTCTCAGTTAGCGCCTTTAGCCGTGATATAAACCAGTCGTCTCACCTCGCACCGCCTCTCAGACTCTGCACTGTTGATGTTGCTCAGGTTCTGCTCCACCGTTTTTTTGGGAGGCCTCTTCTTCTTTGGCTGCTTGGCCGTCATGTCGCCTGCGGCTGCTTCGTCGTCATCCCCGCCCTCGTCTTTCAGACGCTGGTCTGCGTTTACACAAAGAGCATAGCGTTAAAAACGCTCCTGCGGTAATGGCATGGATCGGTGTTTCTGCCTCATGTTGTTTGTGTTGCTTTCTCACCTAAAGGCATGTTTTAGAACTTAAATTAATACTTCTGTGTTAAATATGTAATTCCCTGATGGGTTTTCCACAGAAGCGTATTGCATTCACCAAAGAAAAAAAAAATCTGACAACCTATCTCATACTAACAACATTAGTATCCCGTAATGAAGAGATCTTTTCTCATAATTACGAGATAAGATCTTGTAATTATGAGAAAAGATCTCGTAATGATGAGATAATATGTCATATTAGGAGCAGCATTGCACAGCAAGTCCGCAGAATTGTTTCACCGAAAACGCCCACCGACTCGCTGGAAATAGCACTGTACCTGCAGGAGCCTTTAAACCAGCACAGGATGATTTATGGTTATAAATTAATTAGGGCTGCAACAACGAATTGATAAAAATCGACTTTTAAAAGCGTTGGC